TGAATGCAGTTGAGAAACAATCATTATTTGATGGCAGAAGAACAGAATAAGTTACAGGGCTTCTCTTTTTTCCTATATCCCCCCCTCCAATATAAATAACCTTGTTGAGTACCCTGTTTTATTAATTATTATTGCATTGGTAGAGATTGATGTTTTTTGTTAATGCTGACTCCTACAAATCTTATTCTAAATAATCTTATTCTAAAGAAGGGCAAATTGCCAGGGTCTAAGACTTTTTTGTAACCTCTATTTTGCCTTGATATGGCAGGAGAGATAGAGTTTAAGGTAAAATAGTATTAAGTAAATACACCTTTTTCGTTGTATCACTTAATTGTATTCTGCTCCTGCAAACATATTTCTAATTTGTTCTGGCTCACATCAATAGATGGGGAGTGTCCTGTTCAGATTTACATTGCTTTTCGTACTTTTGCTGATTGTATGCAACTACATTTCCCTAGAGCTACTGTTGACCTGACAGTATTGGCTGCTAGTTGGCAGGGAGGATTCATCTAGATTAAATGATTACTTCCTGTTCCTGTCTACAGACATGAAAAAATGGAGTGTTTACTTTTCTGCAAAGCTTTCTCAGAAATAGGAAAATTACTTTAAAAGCTTTGTCTGGTTACCTTCAGATAAACATTTCCATTAATATTTCATCTCATTTTGAACTCTCTTCTAGTTTGTAGTATTTTTTCAATGTATGTAGGTGGCCTCAAGCCATATGGCAAAAGCATTTTCCCAAAACATCCAATCTTTGTCTTACTATGAACTGGTTTTCTGTATTTTTTTCTCACTGAGCAGCTCCTCTCAACAGACTCAAAACCCTTTTTCTATTTTGATCTACCTCTGATTATGCTGATGTATTAGGTCCTTTTTGGAACTCATACATGTTTTAATAGCACATTTAAAAATGAAATTGCCTATTCCTTCCCTCTGTGTTGCGTGAAGAAAAAAATTTGTTCCTATTTTTAGATAATATGTATTGAATGTTCTCGTAGTCATTGCCCTGTACAACGTGGTTATCACACACAAGATACAATCTCTTGTGCTCAGTGATGTTTATTATGTGTCTGTCTACTTTAAAATGCTTAAATTCCCAGGTTCTTTCCCTGATTAAATGTTGCTTTTAGGTATTTTACTTGTTTTAATTCCATACACATGTACTTTACAAACGATGTTGGATGAGGATTTGTAATGAGAAATTAGAGTCCCAGATTTTTAATGAATAGTTTTATTCTGTCTGCTAAAAGTCTGACTACTTCCATCTTCAGGCATCTGTCCTAAACACAGTAGCACTCCCTCCATCTTTGACACACATACTTCCCCGAAATCCCAACTCCCAAAGTGGATGTTGCCAGGGGCAGGTAAGGATCAGGGAGAGTGTAGATGATTCTGTATCTGCTCACATCTTATGAGGGGGTCTTGAGAACACATAGTCCACAGTGCTTCAAATTCAAAGAAATGTTAAATCTGAAAGAGCCCATAGCAAAAGTTATCAAGACTATCAGACTACTTCCTGTTTCCTGAATGTGCTGTGCACTTTTACATGTCCATACCCATGCTTGTTTTGGAGCATCTTTGCTCCTCAGGCTGCCTTGTAAAATGCAGCTTGTCCTCCAGCAACCTAAGCTCTGAATTAATCATTCCGTCATCAGTGATAGCATGGCATTATAAGAAACTATTAATATATAATTTCTCCCACCATATGTTTGAGTGCCCTGCAACATATTTCATAGTATAGTGTTCAGTTTGTGTTATTTTTCTATTTATACTTTAAGTTTTAAATGTTTACTTGAGCAGATAGGGTTATGTTATAGTAAGAATGGTGTGTGTATATAAATGAGAAAGTAGAAGGTAAAAGACTTTTAAATGACTTTCATTTCTAGCGTTTTTGATAGGAAATGAATTCACTCACACTTTTAGGTTTCTTATGGAATTCATTGAGGAAGAGAATATACAACTTAGTTCTGACTTATTCAGAAACCATAATGGTATTTTAAAAACATGCTATTATCTATATTACATTGTGATTCACTTCATTCTGAAGCTGCCAAAAGACCTGTCTTATATAGAGATACTTTGTATAACCAATGTTATAGAAGAGGATTGATACATTTCTGTATTTCTAATTTCTTAATTTATGATCATATGCTACTTCTGTGATCAAAAAATAAAGTTTGTTTTATTTTGTTTTGTTTTGTTTTCAAAGAAGAGACAGGATGACAATCATTAAAAAGTCAGCAAACAACAGATCCTGGAGAGGATGTGGAGAAACAGGAACGCTTTTACACTGTTGGGAGTGTAAATTAGTTCAACCATTGTGGAAGACAGTGTGGCGATTCCTTACGGATATAGAACTAGAAGTACCATTTGACCCAGCCATCCCATTACTGGGTATATGCCAAAAAGATTATAAATCATTCTACTATAAAGACACATGCACACATATGTTTATTGCAACACTATTCCCAATAGCAAAGACTTCAAACCAACCCAAATGTCCATCAGTGATAGACTGGATAAAGAAAATATGGCACATATACACCATGGAATACTATGCAGCCATAAAAAGGATGAGTTCATGTCCTTTGCAGGGACATGGATGAAGCTGGAAACCATCATTCTCAGCAAACTAACACAAGAACAGAAAATCAAACACCACATGTTCTCACTCATAAGTGGGAGTTGAACAATGAGAACACATGGACACAGGGAGGGGAACATCATACACGGAGGCCTGTCGGGGAGTGGGGGGCTAGGGGAGGGATAGCATTAGGAGAAATACCTAATGTAGGTGACGGATTGATGGGTGCAGCAAACCACCATGGCACCTGTATACCTATGTAACAAACCTGCACGTTCTGCACATGTACCCCAGAACTTAAAGTAAAAAAAAAAAAAGAGAGAGAGACAGGCTGGGCGTGGTGGCTCACGCCTGTAATCCCAGCACTTTGGGAGGCTCAGCCGGGTAGATCACGAGGTCAGAAGTTTGAGACCAGCCTGACCAACATGGTGAAACCCCGTCTCTACTAAAAATACAAAAATTAGCCAGGCATGGTGGTGCACACCTGTAATCCCAGCTACTTAGGAGGCTGAGGCAGGAGAATTGCTTGACCTCGGGAGGTGGAGGTTGTAGTGAGCCGAGATCACACCACTGCACTCAGCCTGGCAGCAGAGCAAGACTCCATCTCAAAACAAAACAAAACAAAACAAAAAAATGGTTGCTGATGTTGACTATGCCAAGTTAGAAACTGAAAAATGAAGAGGTGAATTTCATCCTTAAAGATAAGGTTAAAATTTTAAGATACTGGTATTTATGTGAGTAATGAAAGAATTGGTGAGAAAGTAATCCCATCTAATTCTTGTCTTCCTGATCAGTGGTTAGTCAAGAACAATTGGAGAAAAATTTCCAAATGGAGCATTAGAATCTTGTCTCAAGTTATAACAGGTTTATTACATATGATATAGAAAGCAAAAAACCTGGCTTTTACCTTTTGTTTGTTATTTTAATACCTTTAGTGTAGGTCGTCCTTCACTTGAATGCTAATGTTGACAGTAACTTGACCTTATGCTTTAGTCATCTTTTTGAATGCCACTGGACATTTGGCTCTTGGAAGATGGTAACTCTTAGTACTTCTTAGTAGTAAGTACTTCTCCCTGGTTTGTATATATTACTTATTTGAGAACCTATCTGCCATTGTGGCTGTCAGAGCTCAGCATAATTTAAATGCTTAAGGTGGGTGATTGAAGTACTTGAATGAGATATCTTGTCATCCATCTGCTGATGACTCACTAAAGAGTATTTTAAAGAAAGGATGTTCTCCAGCTCACCAGTGTGTTAGAGGAAAAATGACATATGGTATATCCCCTTAAAATTTAAGTTTTTAGAAAGCAGAAATGCATTATTCCAGTATTACTGTGAATACTCATATTACCAAAGATCATCCTCAATTGTAAGGTATTTATCTTTTTACAAAATGTCCTAAAATGGGTAAATTACTTCATAAAAACTGGCATACAAAGTTGCTCTAATTAGAACGTAATTGTTTTTAGACTTAACCATTAATTGAGGCTGTCAGTAGTTTGCAGCAGAATCCAAACATCTACTGTATTAAACTTCATCTGAAACCACATTATTCTTGATGATATTTTGTTATAATTGATACTTTGTTCTCTGATGCTTGAGAGATTGTATTTGCAGGTAATAATTTTATCTAAAAATTAAAATAAATTTTCTGATTTCAGAGTATTATTTTGTTAATGTCTGCTGTTGCCCTTCACCTCTCTGAACCCTACTGATTTTTCTAGGTGAAGCTAAAGAATGTCAAGCTTGATGAAGTTTTCTTCTATCCCAATAGCTTAAATTATGGCATTTGGACATGGTTTATAGTATCTATTTCCTTTTTCCTTGTATTAGTTAGCTGTGTAATAGTTATGCCTCCCTCTTATACTGGCTCCTAGAGAGCAATGACTGTGTTTTAGGCATCCTTGTAGCACCTTTCACAGCACATATCCCCTATATTTTCAGGAAGTATTTATGAAAATCATTGTTTTTTATCCCGGATTTTCCAAATTAGACTTACATATAAGTCAGTTATTTGAGGTTTAAATGAGTAATTATGCAGTTAGCCATAATGGTTAAGGCTCTATAGTTAAGATTGCCCAGGTTTGAGTGCCTACTTCATTATGTATCAACTGTGAGACTCCCTCATATAGGAATGTTAGTATTAGCCTCCTAGAGTTGTTGATGAAGATTAACATAATTTGTTTAAAACATTTATTGAGATGCCTAACATATAGGATACACTAAATATAATGTAGTAGTAGTATAATATAACTTTTGCTAAATGTAGTCCTATTGGGCTGGCCTCTGAGCCCCTTGAAGGCCTGTCTTTTGGTCTTTATGTCTCAGGCACCTAACCTAGCAGACAGTCAATACTCAATAAATACTTGTTTGAATTGAATTGATTGATTTACCCTATTTTTATCTTCCATTACAGCCCACTGTTTGTAACATGGAAGATTGGTCGAGACAAAAGATTACGTGGATGCATAGGTACTTTTTCTGCCATGAATTTGCATTCAGGACTCAGGGAGTACACACTTACCAGGTGAAGACCAATTTTTGTTACCTCTGCTTTTACATTTAAAAAAAAAAAAACTTACGAAACTTGAATCTGATACTTTAACTCCTTTTCTTTTACTGAATTGTCAACGTTCTTGTTTTCCTTCATGTCAGGTTTTTCCCTGTCTTTGACCATTTACCTTCTCTCTGGTAAAATATTATTCATATCTATTATCATAATATAAAATACTGGGATTAATGTATTTCTGCCATCGATGTTTTGAAGTGTTTTTTTCTTCCAGTGGTCAGCTTATTTTGTATAACTTGAAAACCAATGACCAAATGTCCATGGGTTGCCAAAATATGTGATTTCTATAGTAACAGTCATTATTTCTTCCCTGTTGTGTTTTTTGAAAATAGTTGTTGTCTCTTTCATCTTACACATTTTGTTACACTTTTAAGTACTTTTGAAATTGAAAGGAGAGCCTAGGAAGAAAGTGATGCTATAGCCTAGCAGTATAATCATTCACATTCACATTTCACCCAGAATTAATTGTAGCTTGCTTATTTTCTTTTATCTAACGCAAGGACAAAGCAATTCCTCATTACAATTGTTTAAAACTTCGTTCTTAATTTCTGAATTCACAAAAAGCTATCTAGCACACAATGTGAGTTTTTTGGTTCAAGTTTATATTTCAAGCAAATTGTGACCCAAAATTATTTCAGAAGAAGAAAATTCCTTAGATAATAAGCTATTAGTAAAGGAATTTCCTGTTTTTGTTCACATTTTAGGGTGATTATCTGATACAGTTTCTATAGTTGTAACATGCACAGTGTCTGTCCAACAAGAAATTGCTCCCTGCTGACTGTTGGCGCTTGGGGCATGTTGCTCAACCTCCATAGGTAAAATAGTCATTACAGTATTTTGTTCTGTATACTTAATAGAGTTGTTAGGAGAATGAAGTAATAATCACTATTTTACTTCAGGATTAATGTGGAACATTAATTATTTTACTGTAGAACTGCATAAATGCAGGCTCATAGCACCAGTTAATAAAATGCTGTAACTGAGTTTAGTATTCTCATATTTGAAGGTATGCAGTAGCTCACAGCTGCAGGGTTTTCTCAGCTTACAGTGAAGCCCAGAAAAAATAAAATAAAACAATGGCTTGGAGGATCATATTCATTTTTTAGCTTTTCGCAGGTATAAGAAACTGGATGTTTGGATTTGATTAAATAACATACAGGCTGTAAGGGTTGAAACACATATTCTGGAAATAAATTCAACTTGTTAAAGATAATATAAGTACTAGTCTAGGCATGTTAGGTTTTTTTTTTCTGACATAAAATACAATGGGTTCATTTTTGGGACTTCAGCAAATTCTGCCAAAGGCTACCTTTTTGGGATAGGTACAAATTAAATTACATATTTAATACTAATCAATGGCAATTTATTGTACATTTCCCAAAATAAGTTGTTATGAGGAACACTGGTTCCTTTGCACTACCTGAAGAAAAGAATTCTGTGACCAGATAAGTTTGGGAAACACTGGTTAAAAACAGCTCTGCTCACTGTAGGACTTCTCAGAACCTTTTATGTTAATAGTGTTATGTATATCTAAGAGAGAGAAATAGAATGCAGCATTTTCCAGGCTTATTTGACTACAGGACCCTTTTATCCTCCCACCCCAAAGTCTGAGTGTTCCAAGGAACACGTTTTTGGAAACACAAGTCTGTTTTCAAAACAGAGTATTACTTTATACTTGGGTAGTAAGAGTTGGTAGTATAGAAACCCTTTGTGCTTTCTAGTGAAATTGTAGCAGAAATCCCATTATCAAACATTATATACCTTAGAAATCTTTCGTAGTAGTAACTGTGGTAGCAATTGGGTTTTGTTTAAAGAAAAAAATAATTTTGCTTATGTTGGCAAGGGGTGAAAATATCCAACTTTTCTGGACTTCTCCATTTATATCCTAGGGTAATGACCAGAAGAATTACAGTAGAATTTTCTGACAGTAATGTGATTCTGAATGAATTGTTCAAATGCTTGAACTTGGAAATTTGCCTACATTTGTATACCTTGTTACCCTCATTGCAATCTATAGCTCTTCCTGTTTACTTTTCAACTTTTTTCTCATGTTTCTATACAGCTTCCTCAAATTGTGTATATCACATTACAGAGGGCGTGTGTGTGTGTGTACATGTGTTTGTGTGTGTATACACACATGCACATACATGGTTTTACTTCTCATTTTTGTTTTGGCTTAATTTCCTTTCTTTAACAAGATATTAACAATCATACTATTTGGAAAAGATGAACAAAAGAAAACGAGTCTTACAAAATACAAGTAATCTTTTTTCCTGGATTCATTTCAGCATCAAAATTTATAAGGAGTCATTTTTTAAAAGTTGGAATATAATATTTTTCTGTCCAGTAGTGTGCTTATCATTTTTACATATTATGTTATTATGATTATTTTTGTTAATGGCTACCATTTATTAAGAATTTACTACATCAGACATTGTTGAGGAGCTTTACATGCATAGTCCTTGTAATAACTCTTAGGTACTAATATCTACATTTTCAAAATGAGGAAACTGAGAATTAGGTAACTTAAATAATTTACCCACTCACACATCTATTAAGTGATAGAACTAGGATTCAAACCCAGAACATGTGTCTACAAAATCCATCCCCTGAGACAAAATTTTCTGATTATTTATGTTTTGAAGCTTTGTCATGAAAATAATGAACTTGAAAACAAGTTACTATACATTTTATAAATCATAGATCAGTAATCCTTCAAAAATTCTAGTAGAGGGTTAAGACTGAAATTTTGCAACATTATTTAAAATTCCAGAAAATCCATAGATAATATTATGGAAAGTATACAACTCAGAGTTGTATAGACCAGGCAGAAGAAAATTGACTTGAACTAATATTGTATTAAGGATAAAGCTTATTACAAAAAAATACTACTGTAGGACAGGAAATTGCATTCTTTAGCTACATGGACTTGACTTTAAGAATACAATTTTTTTTTTTGAACATAAAAATTGGTGATTCTTGGCCTCTGGTCGTCCCACCTTAAAACCCATAACTCACAAAATGAATAAATAGAATTAAATGAACTTAGGGGATGGGGCATAAAGGAGGGAGAAAGCAAAGCAAAAAAAACAAAACAAAACAAAACATAAACAGTGAAATTAAAGGCATTCTAGGCATAGGCATCTTTTTAAAAATTAGAATAACCGGTTCATCTGTGATTAGATAGACTTGTTTGATTTTCAGAATGTTACTCAATTATATCTCTTCTTTTTTTTATTGTGGGAAAATATATATAACATAAAATTTACCATTTTAACCATTTTTAAATGTATAGTCCTGTGGCCTTAAGCACAACCACATTGTCATACAGTCATCACCACCATCCATCTCCAGAACGTTTTTCGTCTTCCCCAACTCAAACTCCGTACCCATTAAACATGAACTCCACATTCTTCCTCCTCCAGGCCCTGGCAACCACCACTCTTTTTTGTGTTGCTATGAATTTGACTACTCTAGGTACCTCATATCAGTGGAATCATATGATAGTCATTTTGTGACTAGCTTATTTCACTTAGCATAATGTCTTCAAGGTTCATCCATGTGGTAGTGTGTGTCAATTTACCTTCTTTTTAAGGCTGAATATTCCATTGTATGTATGTACCACATTTTGTTTATCCTTTCATCCATTGGTGGATGTTTGGGTGGGTGGCTTCTACCTTTTGGCTGTTGTGAGTAATGCTGCAATGAACATAGGTGTACAAAATATCTGTTTGAGTACCCTTTTTCCTCTTAAAAGTTAACCAGTTTATAGAAGACAATGATCTAGCTTGTGTGTAGTACCTTAACTCTAAAACCTTTCTTAAAAATATGACCAGGTATTTTAAAAATGAAATGCCTATCCTGAATTAAGTTTTTATTTATAAATAAAATTATAAACTTTTAATTTTAATAAAATTTAATTTTAATTTTAATAAAATTATTAAAACTTTAAAAATTAAAGTACTTATCATTAAAGTACTTGTCATAGTCATGTTGTATGTTCAAATATGACCAGGTATTTTTAAAATGAAATGCCTATCCTGAATTAAGGTTTTTAAATATATATATATAAACATAATCTTTTAAATGTAAAGTACTTGTCATAGTCAAGTTATATGTTCTCCTAATTGAAATTTTGATTTTAGATTGAAAGAAAATCTTATAAAGAGGCTGAGGATTTCTTCTCAATTGTGAAAAAACATAGTATCTGTGTAGGTAATGCAAAGTTTGTGAGAAGTACATGGAACTATTATAAATAGACTATTCTTTCCCTGACCTTGAAGGATCTGGGTAAAAGCAGGAAAGATTATAGAAAATACGAAGCAGGATGGAGAGCTCAGAATTATTGATAAAAGCCTATCCATAGAATTTGGTGATAAAGTCCACTAATTACCCTATTTATCATTGCTGAAGACTTCAAAGAAGAAATATTCTTTGTCCGAGCTGAAGGAGATAATTTCCAGTATTGTTTATGGCTTTTATACATTAGAAAGCAGAGGCAGATTTATTTCCCCAATTTTAGTACTTAGAAAACATACTTTTATAAAGAGGAGAATTAACACTAAGATAGATGAATATAACATCTCAGTCAAAAAAGATTCCTTAAAATTTTGTCTAATAAATTTCCCAGCAAAATGCAGATCTATTTCTTTATGTAAATTCAAGTTGGCTGTAATTCTTCCAGAACACATAAGTAATTAATAGATATATTCTTATTCTGCAAAACAGGAATGTGGCCTGTCACCACACTTAAAAAAAGACTTTTTTTCTCCTTTACTTTGTGGTACTTAGACCTCTTGGCAGTGAAATAATTATTCAGGTGCTGGCAGTTCTAGAGCTTGATTGTGAACTATGCCACTTTTGTTGAACTACTTAATTCTGAGAAATTAGCAATGAAAGTTTAGCCCTTTCTAGGGAACAGTGTGACCACATTAAAGGTGATGTGCTGTGTTTTGTTT